AATAAACGGACTCGCGTCGAAGGCCGGCAGCCGCTTTCCTTCCCCCTTCCCGTCGGTGAGGTGAGAGGCACCGGCGATCGGTTTCTCCCCCCTTCCCCCTTCGGTTACCTCAGAGCCGGTTCCCGCCGGGCCCCGGGGGGCGCGCGCCTTCCCCTCACGCGCACGCGCGCGGCCGGGCGCGTGCACGTGTGTGAGGGGAGGGCGCGCGCCTCCCCCCTCCCCAACAAATCCATTTAAAAACCTCATTTAACCCCCTTTTTCACGCTTCCTGAGGGAATCGCGGCCTTCAGGCCTCTCACCCCGGCGAGAAGCCTGAGGGGGGGAGGCCCCCTCAAGCGTGTGGGGGGATTTGGAGGGGGGGGACGGGATTTGGGGCCCCCCCCATCCCGTGGTGCTTCAGGTGCCCCCTTGGATTTGGGGCTGCGGCTTCAGGAGGTGATGGTAAAAAAAAAAACCCTTCTGGGGTTTTTTTGTATGTTAATGGCGGTGTTGGGTTTGGACACGGGGTTTTCTGCCGGCGGGGAGAAGGCGGGGGTGTTGGCAAAAAGAGGGAAGATTAGGGGGTTTAGGCAAAAAGAGGGGAAAATGGTGGTTTTTTTAATTGTTTCTCCTTTGCCAAGAAGGGTGGTTGGGGGGTGGAGTTGGCCTGAGGTGGGAGGAAAGAAGGGACTCGGCGCCTGAGGATGGAGAAGCCGGTGGTGGATGGAGGATCCGAGGGCCTGGTGTAGCCACCGCTCCTGCTTTTGGAAGGATTCAGAAGGAATTGGGATCAAAACATAGTGTTTTTTACCCTTTTAGGAAAGCGGGAGTCATCCACCTGAGGTGGAGGAGAGCAGGGAGCAGCGAGGAAGGGAGGGAAAACGTGAGGAAACACGTCGGAAAGAGGAGGGGGTAGAAAGCTTTGGTGGGTCAGGGATGGTGGGGTTGGGACTAAACCCGTGAAGAGGGTGAGAGGAAGGAGAGAGTTGATCACCTCTGCTGCGGAATCAGGAGAAGATGCTTTATAGGAAAGAAGAAAGATGATCTGAGTATGTAAAGAGCATGACCGAAAGGTGGAATAAGCTCCCCTGCTCCGTGGGTTTGCTTGGCACAGCCGTAAGTAGTTGCTGATTCCTTTGGGAACAGAAGTGTTCCTCTGCTTTGATTTTTTGTGGGGACTTGGCTCTGTGATGATGGCTCGGTGCTGCATCTTTGGAGTTTGGTTAATAGTTAGGAATCGACTTCCTTATGTGAGATTTGAATCAATATTTTTAGATTATTTTCTAATGGACTCGCAGAATGACATAGGGTTGGAAGGGACCTCTGGAGATCATCTCCTCCAGCCCCCTGCCAGAGCAGGTCCGCCTAGATAATTAGCGAGGAACTGTTTGAATCCCAAAGTGGTGTGGTTGTGGCTTTGTGTTTGGGAGAATCCCGAGGAAAGGACTTGCTGCATTCCTAATCACAGCGTCCTCTCGTTTTTCAGGATTGTTTATAGACAAATTGAGTTTTCTGTCATGAAAGGGGCAGAGCTGAGGCATGATCTCTCTCTTTGTGAAACCTGTAACTGCTATGACAGTGTCCTAGTGTGATAAATTTAGGATTACATGAGCTGTTGTGTAATGCAGAAAGGAGATTAGCTGACTTGAATTCAGAAGAAAAGCAAAAAACACCCTGGGATTTTCACTGGATGTGTTGTACGTAGAGAGCTGTGCTGTTCCCCCCGAGTCCTTCCACCAAAACGCTTCTGCTCAGTGTTTTCAGTTACGAAGCTGAACTCGGTGCAATGCTGTTTATTTTTCCAAACGTGACTCAAATATAACATCGCTAAAGAGCAAAGAAGAATCAGGTTCTGTCTCGGGAGCATTAAAATAGTTTTTTTAAGTGTCAGAATCTGAGCGATAAATGGATTTGTCAGGCTTTCTCTGAAGACAGCTGTTGAGTTATTTATCCAATGTTATTTTTATTCAGAGCGTTGCTAGGCCTGTCTCATCAGAGTTCGTAGAATGATGCGTAGAAATGTCTTTTTTGTTTGTTTGTTTGGTTTTTTTCCTCTCTGACGAGGAAAGAGTTTGAAAACTAGAATGGGAACAGCTTGACAAACAAAAATAGTTTTACCTGACTCTAGTGGAGTGTAGTAAGAAAGGAGTGGAAGAAGAGCAGCTCCTCTGTGCCGGGTGCTGTATGAAAGAGGAGGAACCCACGGTGC